ATACTTGTTCTACTTACTGTCATTGGTAGTCCACATGTGGTCCCACTGGTTTTAGTGGAACTGAGTGAATATGTCCATGAATGTGAGAAAAAGTCTCCACAGCCTGGACCTATAGACTACTATAGTGTACAGTAGCTACTACCAGAGCTGACCCTAGGGGTGTGCAGGGCCTGGGGCATATCAGCCTGTGTGGTGGTGGGAAGGGGAGTGGGTGGAGTGTGAAGCCAGTGGCACATGACGGCTGTGCGGAGTGGTGGCACCTGCACCCTTGGCACGTACCAATGTCCACAGGGCCTGTACGGCACTGTTCATGGGGCCTGGGGCAGTTGCCCTGATTTGCCATCCCCCCACCAACGAGTGGATCTGGCTACTACTCACCATGAGCAAAGGTTGCAAGATATGACCCTTTATATCAGGTCTTCATTTTTCATTGATGTTTACAGGTGTCCAGGATTAAGCCCTCAGCAGTCTTCTATTAGCCAGTTTTGGCATGTTAGTGTTGAGCACTGTTGCTGTGTGAATGTGGTTCTGGGGGGATAAAATTATTAACATGTTGCTGCTCTGATTTATGTGTTTCTGTCTTTGCCCTCTCAGCCGACCAGTCCCAACAGAGGCTGGTTCATTCCACCATTTGGAGGAAATCCCTGGTGGGTTTACCTTGCAGCTGCCATCCCTGCTCTGCTGGTGACTATTCTTGTCTTCATGGACCAGCAAATAACAGCTGTCATTGTCAACAGGAAAGAACATAAACTTAAGGTTGGTGCCTTTTGTGATTGCATGACTGCAAAGAAGTGACAATCCTACCCTCTCTGAGAGAGAGATGGGGAGGGAGCCTGCCATAGGAATGGAGATTGTCACTGTGTCAGAAACTTATTATTTGGGTGTAATTACACATGGATTGTTTTCTAGAATTGCTGAAAGCAGTCACCAGTATGTATTTCTCAAGCACCATGTGAATTCTTAGTGAACCAAGGACATGGCCAGTGGGCCAAATCCAAATGTTCTTCCAGGTACTGTGCCATTTTGATTTCAGGAGGATTTCAGTCTTGAGTAAGGGGAATATAAATATAAGAAGCCAAGTCCTTTACCCTTAATAGTAGTTCCTGCAAAAAGAGTTAGCACTAGCACCAATCTGGTATATCTAACATTTGGCCATGTACTCTGCCTGCCCTAGAGATGGGGATAGTGTCAGGGCCAGGCATCTGGAGGCAGCACTCTATCCACTGCTTAGCTGGCAGGGATGGTCCTTCTGGAGCAGCTCACCTAAGTCAGCCCTTCTCTGTCAGGAGACATTTCCGCTTAGCCACTTTTGAATCCCTACCCAGCAGGAGATTGATGCCTCTTAAAATTGAACCCAGAGTTCCTGGCAGGGCCTGTACTACTAAAAATACAAACTCCTGATTAACTGCAAAAGGATCTCATGAATATAATTTAGAACTCATTTATTCCCAAAACTCTGATTTGTGGATGTTTGTCTAGGTGATGTCTTCTTGGTTTTCAGCATTGTCCATCATTACCCACAAGGAAATGCCAAAGAAGCCAGGCAGGGGAGGGGGCTTGTGAGAGCACAGTGCAAAGGAAAAAGATTTTCCTTCTGCATAGATGCCCTTCTCACCCTAGGTGAGGACAGGTATGTTGGACAGATCTTTTGCAACAGGTACATTCCTGTTACAAAGGTGTTCCTATCAAGCAGACTTTGGAGGGAGGGTGGCACATTGTTTTCCTTTCCTCTTAGATCATTTTCTTTGCCTAACCACTTGATGAGCCTCACTCTCTTAAGTGCAAGACAGAGGGGCAGGTGTGGAAGATTTCATCTTTTCTGTATGCACCTTCTGTCAAAGGAGGCACTGAATGGAGCAGTCCTTACTGCCAGCAGTGTTGCTCTTTGCTATTACTAAAGGTCCTTGGTAGATATTTCCTGTTGTGGAGAAACTATCCATTGGCAGAATTCAAGTTAATAAATGCTAGTAGTAATAATAATAACAATAAAAAGAGCCATCCTTTAAGAACTGAACTCCTTCCTGTCTATTTACCTTGACCCCACAGGCCCTACTTGGAGAAAGCCAGGAAGAAAGCTGGGCCAGTGGTTAAGACACTAGCCTAAAACCTGGAAGATTAAGGTTCAGTACTCTGCTGTGCCACAGACTTCTTTGGGTGGGTAACTTAGGCCCAGAGCCATGAAAAAGTATTTGGCAGCCCAACCTCCTTTGATTTCCCATGGGAATAGCAGTGAAGTGCCTAAATATAAGTGCAGATCTGGGTCTTGGCCTCTGTATCTCGATTCCTTATTTGTACAGTAGAAATTACAGTAGAAAAGCACTTCACAATCTTGCATGTATTTACCCTCACAGGAAAATACAGATGGTCTATCAAAGACTCAGGCTGTGGACCACTTGGCCTCTGGATATACCATAATGAGTTGAGTTTCTGGGTCATGTTGGGAGGGCAGTGATCTGAGAGGAGGATATTATGGCATTTTACAAATACCTACAATAGACAGTTGCTTGGCAGATTTCCTTGTAGTGAGAGACTTGTTCCACCCTGCTCTGATCTTGAATGTAGGTTTGGTTAATGGCATCTTCCCATCCAACCATTTAAATTGGAAGAGTATATAAATTAACTTGGCAGTTACTAGAATTCTGTGCGGAAAGATGAGGGACACATTTGCCTTCCAGACCTTATACTTGCTAAAAGTAATGGATGGAGTTGTGGAGGTGGGGATAGTTCATTCAAATCTATAGAAGTGAAACCTGAGACTTGAGAGGATGTTTTTTCTTGATGCATTGGATTACTGCATCTGATCCAGGATTTCTCGTGCCTTATCAAAATGCGCAAAGTTTCTTTAGATTTGTCAGGCCCCTGCTAACAACATGGTTATCACACAAGAAAATCATTGGTGATTATAGTGTTTGCAACAAGGTGAGTTTATGTACCTGTTACCCCATAGTGAACTTGCATGTGGGTATGTCTGCCTGATTAAGAATGTGGGCCTTGGAGACCTGTGATGATTTAGGAAACCCAGTCTTGACTGGTATGTCATAAGTAGACCACAGTTTAGCAGCTGAAAAGTTCTTGCTCTAGTGCAGAATGCAGGAGAATAAACTGTAGAGGCATTTTAGATACAGTAAGGAAAATAAGAGTCAAAATCCCCACTCGTGAATAGTGTTTTTACAATGCTGTGTGTTGCAGTGTTTTTAAAATAAACTTTCTATGCTGACCTTTAACTATTTCTTATGGCTCTGTAGGGTTTTTCCCAGCCCTGCAGGGTGAATTTTACCAAATAATATTGAGTTGCTGTAAAAAGGACTCTCCCTTCCTGCAGACAGGAGACATTTAAAAAGGTCTAAACTGTAGGAATAATGACTGATTCAGGACAAGGGTAATGCTGAGGTCACTGTTTAGGTGTTAACCTCATCTATAATACTGAGAGCCATTTAGCTAGGGGCTCTTGTGCCAGTTCTTATTTGAAGAAGAGGTGGTTGTTCGCATCCTTATGATAATGGTTGGAAATGTGTAACAACATATAGATTTAAGAGTAATCTCCTGTTGACCTAAAGGACCAAGTTAGAATAGTAGGGGTAAAGGAAAGATTTTAAAGAAAAAGTAGCTTTTGAAGGGATCTAAATGACAAAACATTGGCTCACTGACTGCTGGTCTGGCTTGATGCAGGCTTCTGGACTGTACCAGTCTTCATTTCTTTAGTGAGGTGAACATCCCTTCCTGCTCATCTTGTCCAGTTTTTTCACATAGTTATATCTTATATGCATCTTCCTGAAAGGGGCAGTTTTTCTTCTAACCTCAATTTGAAGTGTCTTATAAAATGAACACAGTTATAAAACTGAGTTGAGCAGAAAATATATGAGTGATTAATTGAAAGAGCTCCCAGATAGTCTTATGAGTGCAGGGGTTGTCAACAGGAGGTACGCATTAGGCCTGTGTGAAGCTTTGGTCCCTGATTCGATTTGGAGGTGATTCAGCCCAATTCGCTGGCTGAATCTCTGACTATGACTCGAATCAGGTGACCCTTTAATCTCTCTGAATCAAATCGGAACCCTCCAAATCGATTCGGGGAGATTCGGAAAGATTCGGCGATTCGTACATAGACACAGCTTTACATGTTTTTTCTGCATACCTCAAGGTACCAGGCGGCTCATGAATGCTGCAGTGCTGGGGCGCATGGAGTGTCCCACAGGAGTGTGGGGGGTCCCCAGCGCGCTCGGCAGCAAACCCAGAAGTGGACCAGAAGCACTTCTGGGCCCAGCGGGGAGCATGCAGGGGGACCCCCCTCATGCCTCCCCAGCTTAGTGACTGGTACCTCCTGGGTCTGGGGGGTACCCGGGGTCCCCCCACGGCCAATCATCAAGCTGGGGGGGTTCAGGGGGCCCCTCTGCTCGTTTCCTGGTGGACCTGGAAGTGGACCGGAAGAATCCATTTCTGGGCTTGCCACTGAGCATATGAGGGGCCCCCTGTGCTCCTGTGGAATCCTTCATCCACCCCACCATCACAGCGTTCACAAGCTGTGCCTGGTACCTAGAGGTATGTATAAAAAACATTTAAAGCTGTGTCTATGGCTGAATCGCTGATTCTCCGAGTCATTGTCCCTGATTCGGCAGAATCCGAATTGAATAGAGCCTGTTTCATACACCCCTAGTATTGCAGGCCCATTTCGCACACCCCAAATTGAATAGGGCCTGTTTTGCAGACCCCTGGAGGTACTTGGAAAGGGGCTAGGGGGTATGAGCAGGCGGGTGGGCAGGAATGGAGCGCTGCCACCCACCACCCTGCGCTGCTGCCTCCCAGGAGCAGGGCCAGGGGTGGGACAAGGGCAGTGGCTTCCCTCTGCAGGTGCAACCACCCGGCCAGCCAATGTGCGGGTGCGGGGGGAAGAGCTTGCGCACAGCAGCTGCCACTGCTGCCATCCACCACTTCGCACTGCCTCATGAAAGCCACCCCCGGTCTGCATCCAGCTACTGCCACCCCCGCCCCGTTCTGCCAGAAGTTTACCCAGAAGGGGTGCACTCCTTAAAAAAGGTTAAAAACCCCTGCATTAGAGTGTGTGTTCTTTCTTCACATGCAGCTAGGTGACTTGAGCCAATTATGAATTGAGAGTGTCTCTTCTCACCAGTCTGGGGCTTGTGCTGCTGTACAGACCAAATTATCTTATCTCCATCAGGAGCAAGCTTGGGGAAGGCAGTAGATAACTTGCCAAGAAGTATAACCCTAGGGTAATGTTCATATCACCTCTTCCCTATTGGTTGGCTGCCAGTAGGGTAGCTACAAGACTGGCCACCCCAGACTCTTTGGCTCCATGTAAATTTTTATCCTTTAGCTGGAGTTTGCTACTTAAATGATAAAAACCAGCAATGTGGTGGTTTCTCTTGGAAGCCACTGCCACCAGATTGAAGAAAAGTCTAGGTTATATTTTTCCCTTAGAGATGCACCTTTACTTTGGACAAGGCTGAAACAGCCCTGCTGGAGAAACTGCCCCAGGGCTCTCTAAAGTATTTCGGAAGAG